TAAGTAAACAATGAATGAACTCAATGGTGTGACGTCAAACTCCCGCCCACTTCTCGGTTAACGTGCCAGCCTTCGCTTCCTCATGACGTCATTTATTGACGTCACCCCGCCCCTCTAACCACGTCTCTTAAAATAATATACCGGCGCAACAGAGCGTCTTTCACCTGTATGTAAGAGCTGACCTGTGAGTTTACACCTGTAAAACAGGTAGACAGAATACCCCCCCCCCCCTCCCACGGACATGACTCTCCTCATGAAACATTTGACCCTGTGTCCCGTGCAGGGAATGTGCACGGAGGGAGATGTTTCGTTGTGTGCTGGTCTTTCTATGGAGAGTCGCCATCTAGATAACACAGGTCCTCTAGTAGGACACATCCACAATTAGGGTCCTCAAGAGGACATCGCATCCATACTCTAAGGTTGTGTCTCTTGTTTGTTAACCTCTATGTGTGTCCATGTGTTATGTGACTTTGTGTTACCTTCACTGTGTTCATGTTACCGTCACTGTGTCCGTGTTGCGGTCACTGTGTCCATGTTACCGTCACTGTGTCTATGTTACCGTCACTGTGTCCATGTTAGCATCACTGTCTCCATGTTACCGTCACTGTGTCCATGTTGCGGTCACTGTGTCCATGTTACCGTCACTGTGTCCATGTTACCGTCACTGTGTCCATGTTACCGTCACTGTGTCCATGTTGCGGTCACTGTGTCCATGTTACCGTCACTGTGTCCATGTTACCGTCACTATGTCCATGTTACCGTCACTGTGTCCATGTTACCGTCACTGTGTCCATGTTACCGTCACTGTGTCCATGTTGCGGTCACTGTGTCCATGTTTCCGTCACTGTCCATGTTACCATTACTGTGTCCATATTACGGTCACTGTGTTCATGTTGCGACACTGTCCATGTTACCGTCACTTTGTCCGTGTTGCGGTCACTGTGTCCATGTTTCCGTCACTTATCAAGACGTATTTGTGACTTTGTTAATCTCACTGTGTAGATACGAATATTTTCAGATCTATTTGGTCCCACCAAATGGTTGATGGTAGGCTTAGTGCCAATCCTGTCTTTTCCGCGCGTTGAGATCTATGTAAGGAGGTATGTTGGTTCCGCGGATAGTGAAAAATTAATATTTTCGTTCAGATAAAAATAATATTGAGAAAATTACTAATTATAAAAATTGTCAATCTAAACGTTTATATACCTATAAATTATTTAACTTCGCTAAAGGTTTTTTCGTTTAAAATGTCTATTAATAATTCTAAAACAAATAAATTAGAAAAATTAGAAAAACATTCTTGAAAGAAAATATTCATATTTTGTATGATGATAAATAATTATCTACATTTTTACTTTAGATATTATTGACTTTTGAGTATTTCTAACGAGCTTTGGGAACATTGTTTTAAGTTGCTTTCCTTGTCTGTGTAAAATTTATAAATGGGAAGTAACTGTTACAAACTATTCTTTAAATGTAAGCTTAAAAACAGTTGTAACCATAATATCAACCCGATAAGTTAAAAGCAAAATATACGTATCAATAACAAAGTTTTTCGTGTATAAAGACAGAAAGTATGTTGTTTTATTTCTGTTTTTAAATTTTCATTGTGATTTTTAAATCGGTAGGCCCTATTTGTTTTATTGTAATTTTGTTTAAAAAATAAAATAAAACATATATATATATATATATATATATATATATATATATATATATATATATATATATATATATATATATATATATATATATATATATATATATATATATATATATATTGCGTACATTTAAGAAGTCGACTGTAAATACATGTTAAAACCAGTAGTTTGCGATCTTAACTCTGAAAGGCAATGTAGACTTTCTCACCGCCACCCCAAAAAGTATATGCCCAGACTACCTGTAAGTGTGTAAGCCGATTTAAATCAACAGACCATGAAGTGAATTTGGTACACCCTGCTCTTGCAATAGTCAGCCCACATGACATGAGCTTAGATATGAACAGCGCCTAAGTGTGAGTATTAACTACAATTTTACGCCAATGCATTTTGTATCGTCTGAGGATTAGCCGACTTGTCGAACACTTGATGGGAAACATGGCTTCTCAACTAAGACGAGATTAATTCAAGCTTTGCCTACTAGTTTCCGCTCTCTGGGTCACTTACACATTATGTAGCATTAGAAAAACTATACGTATAAAATATTTTGTTTTTCAGTCTGTCACGCGAGTGGATTATTTGTGATTAAACAGATATCGCACCAATTCAAATACAGACGGGCAAAGACAGAAGACCAAGAAATACAGACGGGCAAAGACAGCAGACCAACAAAGACATCAGACCAACAAAGACAGCAGACCAACAAAGACAGCAGACCAACAAATACAGACGGGCAAAGACAGCAGACCAACAAAGACAGAAGACCAAGAAATACAGACGGGCAAAGACAGCAGACCAACAAAGACATCAGACCAACAAAGACAGCAGACTAACAAAGACAGCAGACCAACAAATACAGACGGGCAAAGGCAGCAGACCAACAAATACAGGCGGGCAAAGACATCAGACCAACAAAGACAGCAGATCAACAAAGACAGCAGACCAACAAAGACAGCAGTTCAACAAAGACAGCAGACCAACAAAGACAGCAGACCAACAAATACAGACGGGCAAAGACAGCAGACCAACAAAGACAGCAGACCAACAAATACAGACAGGCAAAGACAGCAGACGAACAAAGACAGCAGATGAACAAATAAGGAAATCAGCAGACGGACAAGGCCAGTCAGTGTCAGCTTCCGGAATATTAAAACGATTTATTTCTGTCAGTGATGTTAAGGACGGGATGGGGTGGGGTGGAGTTGGAAGGAGCAAGTATCTGGGTCAGAGTGTCATTCTATGTTGTGGTGTCAGTCTACACTGTGATGTCATCATACACTGTGGTGTCAGTCTACACTGTGGTGTCAGTCTACACTGTGGTGTCAGTCTACACTGTGGTGTCAGTCTACACTGTGGTGTCAGTCTACACTGTGGTGTCAGTCTACACTGTGGTGTCAGTCTACACTGTGGTATCAGTCTACACTGTGGTGTCATCATACACTGTAGTGTCAGTCTACACTGTAGTGTCATCATACACTGTGGTGTCAGTCTACACTAATGTGTCAGTCTACACTATGGTGTCGGTCTAAACTGTGGTGTCATACTTCACCATAGTGTCAGTCTATACTATGGTGTCAGTCTACACATTAGTGTCATCATTCACTATGGTGTCGGTCTATACTATTGTGTCAGTCTACACTATGGTGTCAGTCTACACATTAGTGTCATCATTCACTATGGTGTCGGTCTATACTATTGTGTCTGTCTACACTATGGTGTCAGTCTACACATTAGTGTCATCATTCACTATGGTGTCGGTCTATACTATGGTGTCAGTCTACACATTAGTGTCATCATTCACTATGGTGTCAGCCTGCACTATGGTGTCGGTCTACACTATGGTGTCAGCCCGCACTACGGTCCTAAATGTGCGCTGGCAAATCTCTGACGAATTATTCAAACATCTTTTCCCCGTGTAGCCCTCCGTGTCCGCCTACCTGAACTAACCAGTAACCCTAGGCAACAACAGCATCATATATCTCATTAAAATCACGTCATTTCCGCTTCAGCGACTGCAGCTTCCACCAGCAGACGATGGGTGCAGTTTGTTTGTTTAAAGACCGCCCGCCGCCATCAATAACATCCAAGGTATTTTCTTCTCCGATGAGAGTATGAATATTTTAATAATTTTAGCCGGAAACAAAAGCAAGGTAATTTAGAGGAATTATCGAACACTAAATTATCGATCTTTTAATACAATTTGTACCCCAGCACTTCAAAGCGGGATACATTAAAACAAATTACAAACTCCACATGACAAAATATTTACGCGAAGAATAATGGCTGACCCGAATAAATATCCAATCAAACTTCGCATTTTAAAATTATTGTGGCAGTAATATAACAAAAGTAACATGACGGATGTTCTAATATAAACAGAATTATATGTTGCAACCTTAAAGTACACAAGTAGAATCAAGATCTTTACAGTACCAAATCCTATTTTTTCATCTTTGATTTTTATGTAAAAAAAAAAAAAAAAAAAAAAAAAAAAAAAAAAAAAAACCACGTAAAATTCTAATAGAAAATTGTTACAAAAACACGTTTGAAGTCAATATATCCAGCATGGATAGTCTTTCCCGTAAAACCTTTTCAGGCGCTATGATTTTATTATTAATGTTGTCATATGTTGTTTCGACTCACGTTGTTGAAGGCAATTACATTAATTACAAGAACTTGAATGACACGGGAATTTATCGGAATAAAACTAGGACTGAATTTTTTTTTAAACGGACGAGTTCACTATAAAACAATATAAAGGTCAACTTTTCATTTGGAGTAAGTAAAAAAGGAAGTGTTTAGGTGTATTTAGGTAACTCGACGTGCGAGTTACCTACAATGGTAAATTGTATGTGAGAGAACAGAGGGTTTAATGGATGGACGAGGTTTAAATGGACGGGTGATGGTGAATAGAGGCGTAACGAGGGGGGGGGGGGGTGGGGCGCCGACCTTAGGGGGCGCCAAAATGGGTTGGAAAAATAAATTGAAAGCTTGAAAGGGGGTGCAAATCGAAAGTTTAAGGGGGGGGGGGGGTGCAAATCGAAAGTTTGTCCCCGGGCGCCGGGAAGGGTCGCTACGCCTCTGATGGTGAGTGCTGTGCGCATTTAAGCAGAAAAATGTACGAAAGATATAATGGTGCTGTACATTGATATACGCGTAACTTGTGTAATTCGTGGATGGTGTAATTTATATCACTTGTGTAACTTGAGCATTTTATAATTTTTATCACTGGTGTAAATGTTTGATCATTTTTATCATTTGTGTAAATGGTGTATGTTGTTTTTATACCACTTGTGTGAATGATAAGGAGGTGTCATTAAGGTCAGCCAAAAGGTAAAACGTTACTTTTTCTCCGCCTTCTTCTTCAAAGCTTTCTCGATGGCCTTCTGTCTGGAGTTCTTACATGCGGTCAATATGACGGACATGGTGTCTGGATGGACTGACCTGAAAGAAAAAATATTAATTTTAAAAAAAATAACATCAGAAACAGACTGAAAACTTAGATTTTTTTATACTAACTTCACGCCAATATATATTTTTTGTTGACTGTCTTAGCTAATTTTTTTTAAAGCAGCCTTTGTTTTTTCCACCTTTGATACAATAATTGAGCTTGAACATTATAAAGATATGTTACCCTAGTTCGTCGGCTGTTAGGGTCGTGATATAAGTGTTTGACCATTTCGATTTATCTTAGGCAAGTATTTATTGTAGTTTATAGCACATGACCCCCCCCCCCCGGGGGGGGGGGAGGGGGGTAACATGATCCCTTGGATGAGGGATAACGTGTGTCCCTGGGTTGGGGATAGCATGGACCCAGGGGTGGGAGATAATTACCCCAGGGGTTGGGGATATCATGGACCCAGGGGTGGGGGATAACATGAACCCAGAAGTGGGACATCACGTGAACCCATGAATGGTTGATTAGTCTAACATTTTACCTTGACCAAGTCATATAATTTTACTGCTCCTTTTCCTTCTTTTTTTTTTTGTTTTTTGTTTTTTTGAACAAAGATTCTAAAACTTACGAAAACGTTATAAAAACTGACAATAATAACTGACAATTTTGTATATCTTTAAAAAAGTCAGCTTATTTCCCAGCGCAGAGTATTACTACAAAAATAGAATATCCTTAAAGTTAAAACTTCCCAGTAAAAGAACCAACTTAGTGTAATACACCCCCACCCCCACCCCCACCCCCGCCCAACATACGTGGTTTCAATCCACAACACTAAAGACGTTAGTTCTCACATACGTTGATTGGTTCATGGGTCAACTAGAAATAGCTCATTTTACCCGCCATCACGTTTCCTTTCAAATCTAACACGTACATAACAGACATGGTGGATGAATAGTAACTAAGTCGACAGCTTTAAATCAATAGTGGTAATCAATTTTTGACAAGGTATCAAAATGTTGATTTTCTTGTAAACAAACACTTCAATAGAACATTGTTGAACTAAGGCCGCCATCACGATTGACCTATCTGTACGGGTAAGAGAAGTGGTTTAATTAGAAGAGGTTGGATTAGTTAGGAGAGGTGGTTTAGTTTAGTTAGTAGAGGTGGTTCAGTTTAGTTAGCAGAGGTGGTTTAGTTTAGTAAGGAGTGGTGTTTTAGTTAGGAGAGTAGATGTCTTATGTACAAACACTCAGATGAAGCGGCAATGTTGCGGCAATGTTGGGGCACTGTATTCGATAAACTGTGAGTAGTGTGCAGAGTTTCTTTCAGGCATCTTTTCGCCCCCCCCCCCCCCCCTAAGAAAGCCTACCGCCCACCGAACTAAATGGAATTTATATAGATAATATATACTGTTAACAGTGTCCGCCCCAACAGGCGTGGTTGGATACTACAGCTTACGACTGCTAGCCCGCAGGTCTCAAGTTCGGATCCCGGGTTCAAGTGTGTAGGACATCCCTGAGTCCACCCAGAAACCAACGGCGTCTGGACCACACTATCTCCCTATATGAAGAAATCATTGAAACAGGGGAACTCTACTTCATCTTGAGACACAAACGGGAAAAAGATGAAGCAAGCTCTAAGAATTTTGCCTCAGCACGTCATTAGAATCAAACACCTGCAATTAGCAGTCTTGAATTTAATATTTTTTAACATGTACGCATGTTGTAATTAACATAATTAAAGCAGCTGTTTTGATAAACTTTACTTGTAAGGGGTCGTCCATAAGTGACGCAAACTCGTATGGGGGGGGGGGGTCCGTAATTTTGTTACAGAGTGTGAGAAGGGTTCAGATGGTGTGATGTGACATTTTTGCATTATAAAATAAACCGGGAGTGATCTCCCCTAAACTTTCTCGAATATTCTTATATAAAACAACAGGGGATGGGAACTCCATTTTAAATAGGCCTACTTAAAGTTTTTAAAATAGAATAAACTCTGGTAGAAAAAAGAATTGCACACCAAGTGAACGCCAAATGAAATGTGCATAATAGTGCGCAATATTATTAGTACTTTATAAATTTACATGCGTTTTTTGAGAAATCGGAAATAGCGTAAATTAGTACTTCCGGTCAACGGAAATTACTCAAAATTTGAAAGAAGGTAGACAATTAGATCTTTTACTTACATGTGAAATTTCATGTATCTATCTGAAATAATACTCAAGTTATAGGTTTTTGAAAAACTCAAAGTAGAAAAAGTACCACTTTCGGTTATCAGAAATCGCCCAAAAGTTGATACGGATCTACGATTTTGATAAAATACTTATATATGAAATTTCATCCACCTAGCTGTAATGGTACTCAAGTTATCGTGTTCACACACAGACACACGGACATACGGACAAGATTGCAAAGTTATGTTTTTCCGTATCAGTGAGGTGTAAAACGTCGAGATTACTAAAAATCTTGATTTTTTTTTTTTGCACGGTTACAAGACTTTCAAATTAACCAATTAGCCAACTAGATATACCTGTGTACTTTATCATCTATGTAGGGTAAACGGAAAAAAAGTCACAGGAAAAAAAAACACAGAAAAAAAGTCACAGTTTTTGCTAGGAAAAAAAGTCACAGAAAAAAAGTCACAGTGGAAAAATGTTATCGGAAAAAAAGTCACAGAAATAAAGTCACAGAAAAAAAGTCACAAAAAATCTTTTTAGAAATATTTTTATTAATTTGTTAAGAATTGTAAAATTTTGTATGTTTATTGTTATGGGTTGTATTTTTTGATAGCATAAATTATTTATAGACGTTAAAAGCATTATGATTTATAACAATTGTAAGTAAAAATACTCTAAGATAATTTACACAACAATCTCAACTTGTTACGTATTTATTTAAATACGCGGTAGAAAAGTTAATTATAAAAGAAATTTAGGCAAATTTTGCCGTAGGCTATTCTCTGGTCGGCCTCTCCTCAGTAGGCATAGTCCGAACATATTTTGTGTTGTTGACGTTACGCGTCAATGACAGCCTTTGAACCTTGTCGGCTTTCTGCTTTGATCCTAAGTTTTGTTATGTAATGAGCGTGATAAATGTGGGCAGTAAAGGTGGTTGAACTAAACATAACTATTGTTGCCATGAGTTGAGGGCAGCAAGTCAGATGAACTTACCATTTCACGGTAATTTAATATTGGTATTTAAAAAAAAAACACGATGAAAACCGTGGACTTTGGAGCATTCTATTAAATGCTACTAATCTTAAGTTTAAAATAATTACAATCTACATACTTCATAATAAATATTTTAAGATGAATTATAAAAACTCCTATACGTATACAGCCTACACACATTACATTACATTAATTAATCCTAAGTTAATTTGCACTCTCTAAATATTTAATACATAAAAGTATTAACAAATATCATGCAAATATATATTTGTGACTTTTTTTCCTGTGACTTTTTTTCCTGTGACTTTTTTTCCTGTGACTTTTTTTCTGTGTTTTTTTTTCCTGTGTTTTTTTTTTCCTGTGACTTTTTTTCCTACAATCCTATGTAGCACGGGCATCAATACTTACAAGACTTACACACACACAGGGAATAGATAACTTAACGCTAAAAACATTAATTCACGACAGAATACTTTAACACTTTAATATACCTACAGACAAACAAGAATACTTACACTTACAGTGTTGAGCTTGATGTAACAGAATAGTGTCCAGCTTTTAAAAATTGTGTCACACTCGCTAAATCAAAACAATGGTCACCTGAGAAACTGTTGAGTTCTGCCTCGGTCCGTCTGATATTCAACACTAGCGGTAGCAGACGTGTTGCCGTCCTCACGCGGGTGTCTGGGCTGGATTAGCCTCGCGCCTGCACGCGCTAGACGGGCGAGGTCGCGTTTGGACATGACGCGGAGTGGTATCGATACTGAGCTCGGGTAGATATATTGTATCGATACTCAGCTCGGGTGGAGGCGTGGTTTTAATAATATTAATAAGGACGGGTAAATGTGGTATCGATGCACGCTATATGCATAGCGTCGATAATGAAGTGGGGAGTACCATCATGGTGGGGAAGGGTGGGGGTGGAACTGCCCACATCGTGTTTCCAACTCAAAAGGTAGTGTCGGGTGTTGCTAACGATGTTGTTCACAGCTGCAGGTACATTAGGTAATCAAGTCGTCCATATCTGGCTACGTTCTATTAAACTTAAATTGAAACTCGACCCGGTTTTTTAATAATGTAGAAAATTTGTTATTACTGGGAACAAAAGCAACATTCCCTTTAGGAATGTATTCATATATCAATGTACAACCTCTTTCTTTTTAATAATGTAAAACATTTGTTATTAGTGGAAACAAAAGCAACATTCCCATTAGGAATGTAGTCATATATTAATGTACAACCTCTTTCTTTATATAACTCTCGTCTATGGGTGGGATATTGGGTTTGGGTTCGAATCTTGAAACTATTAATTTTTATTACCGTCTTTGAAAAAATTAAGTTGATGAATTCAGTATAACCAGCATATTTTTCTCAGCAAATGAACGTGTCTTTGAGATCTACACGTGGCTGAAGCTGCTGATCCTATAACCTCGGACAAAGGTGGCACCGAAGGAGAGAGTGAAGTAACCTTTTGTATGTTGGGATTTTTCATATTAAAAATATGTAACAAAAACAATTGGGGTGGTATTTTACATACACGAACGGACGTGACGTCATATGCAAGGACTCTATTTAGTTGTTTACAAAACGCATTCTCAAAGTTAGCTTTTTTTCGAATATATCTGTTGTCGTAACTCTTTATATAAATGATTCTTAAAATATTATTTTTCTGAATTTTTATTCAGATTTGATTTGATGTTGCTATGGTGCCAAAAAAACTGTCCCAGATCCATGTAAATAATAAAAAAGGAAGCGTCTTGTCAACAGAGGCGTAGCGACCCTTCCCGGCGCCCGGGGCGAACTTTCAGTTTGGCGCCCCCCATATATATATATATATATATATATATATATATATATATATATATATATATATATATATATATATATATATATATATATATATATATATATATATATATATATATATATATATATATATATATATATATATATATATATATATATATATATATATATATATATATATATATATATATATATAT